GAATAACCCCACCATTTTTGGTGTATAAGTTCCCTCATACCCCAATTCTTATCACTATACAAAAAAAAAATAGCTACTTGCATATCAAAAGTAAACACTACCAGTATAATAAAAATAAACATAGAGAATAAAGTGAACACACAGTTGATACTGTAACTGAACATAACTAAAAACAATGTTTGGTTAGTGGTTGAGGATAACTATCTTTCAAATAAAGGTATCCATATATTAACGCAAATCACTCTATAAAACAACAAAAGTCACTATTCCCTTCCAAAGTTTTCCTAAGATGGGAGGTATTAAGGAAATTTACTTTGTGAATATTAGGTGTGAATAAGTATATATGTAATCATAATGCTATTTTAAATGTTTTATCTAGTAAATTAACTAAATTAGTTAGATAAAGTTAAAATGTAAAAATTCAAAGCACTAAATCTATAGGCTAGAAGACAAACAATGAATGTCAGGGGGAAAAAAAAAACCCGAGAAAACCATTAAGTAATAAAAGTGATTTAACTTTTAGAGGCAAAAAAAAATCATGTTAATGAGTGGTTTTCTTTTTAGGGGGTTACTAAGTGTTTCCTGAAGAGTTTGACTTAGTGTATCAGAGCAGCCAAAATTATTATAATCAAAAAACAAAATCCAGGCATCACTGGAAAGGCATAAGAATGAATTTACAAAGTAACTTCTTACATGAAACTATGATGTGCTCACGCTTGATATGTGTTGATCTGAAACCTTAAAATATATTAAATGTCACTAAACTCAAAGGGGTTAGGGAAGGGGAGGCAAACATGAAATAATTAGGATGGCTCAGTCTAGGAAGCTGAGAATAATGGAGGTTCTAGATGGAATAAAAACTGATTTACCAAATCCCAGAATTAGGAGCATCTTCTGAAGCTGAAAAATAGTAAATACCAAATATACATGATGAAATAAAATGAAACAGAGGATTACTTAACATAACAAAATAGTTTCAGAAATTCTTACTACAAGTAAAAAATAAATAGGTTTTAAAACTATCAAAAAAAAAATAAATGCTTCATAACATGTTATTAAAGGGATACTAGGATGTTTTCTTGATTGATAACATAGAGTACCACAATGTACTTCTCAATCCCCTGTTACTAGGAGTTAGAATAGTAGGATATTTTCAGTGTGGCAATTACATATTGTTACAATGTTATTTGTAGTCTTTCTTAATTTTCAGTGCAGTAAAGTTGAAGTCCACTTAATCAATGCAGAATTTAACAAGGTGAAAATCTAACAGCTCAAAACAAACAAACAAAAAAACTCAAATAACCAGGTCTAAAATAGAAAGGTATTACTTTGTGATTCAAACAGTAAAAATTACAATGTTAAGATCTTTACCTATAGTCTTGTAAGTTAAAAATCCATTGCAGAAAACAACAGATAAAAGTTGTTGCTATTTGGTGCTGTTCTGAAAGAATTTACTAGGACTCAGATTCTGTATTTCTACACTTCCAAACCCCTAGAGCAACTAATATTAATCTGTGTGAAGTCCCGAACAATAAACACCAAATGAGTAACAGGACTAAAATCCAGTTTTTTTACTATCTTGGCCCAAGGTGTAAAGAAATATTGTAAAAGAAGATGTGTTAATTAAGACAGTAATTTAGTAGGTTTAGTAAACTAGTAGGTTACCAAACCAACTTCTTGTGTCTTCCGTTTTCAACTCAATATGACAAAGATAAATTCACTTCAGTGAAAATGAAAAGCACAGACTAAAACTGTAATTCTAGGAGCAGTTATTATGAGCGTTCAAAGCCAACTGTTAACAAATGGATAATCCAAATGTCCATATATAACTGAAAACCATAGTTTTTTTTCCTTTGTTTTCTATTTGTTCTCTCCATTTTGCCCTTTAAGGCAAGGCTGAACTTGCTTATTTTTCCCAGGAAAAATTAGATATCAGGATAAAGGTATTGTTTCTGAAGAATGACCATGGATGTCATGTTTCTCTTGTAAACTGAAACAGAGGGAGCTGTCTCATTCCCCATAGGGTCTCGGAGAAAGCTATAGCTTTAAGGCAGATAATTCCCATGTACACACGTTAAGAAGGGACAAGCTGTGCTTTATAAAGTTAATCCTCAGAAAAAGACATGGGTCCTCAGGCAATGTTCATTGCAAACAATGAACAATGAGTTCCACAGGGTGAGTGCATCAGCCAAAATAGCATATGTGTAAAGTGAGCATCAGCATGTGATTAACTGTTTATGGATATGATGGTATAATGAAACTTTTATTTTGTGTGACCATTTTAAAATATGTCAAATTTGTTAAATATTAACAAAGAAATAATACCTGACATAGAGGATTTCAAAGACTATCCTAATTACTGACAGATGATGTATGGCAAACAAAGTATAATTTAAGGCTTTTAATACAAATGCCAGCAAAAATATCACTGTCATACAATAACTACTATTGCTTATTAAGAAGAAAACAAACCACTTTACATTACCTCCATGGCTATTATCATGGTTTGCCTGGATTATTGTAATAGCCTCCTAACTAGACTCCCTGTTTTCATGTTCCCTGTCCCCTATCCCCTAACACAGTATATTTTTTAGCATAACATAGAAATTTGTTCATGTCACTCCTCTGCTTAAAACCTCCAGTGAGGTCTCATCTCATTCAGAGTAAATACTGAAGATTCTACAGGGCTCTGTACAATCAGACTCTCCATTACTTCAATTATCTTGCCTGCTACTGCTCTCTTGCTTGCATTCTCTACTCCTGCATGCTGGCTTCCACAAGATTGCTTAGCACACCCCTACCTCATAACCTTTTCATACACTACACCTTTTTCCTATTATATCCCTGGATATTCTCACAATTCACTCTTCACCTCCTTCAATTGTCACTTTCCCACTGAAGCCTTTTCTGAATACCCTTTTTAAAACTGACTATACTCCCCATCTCAGCAATATTCCATATCTTCCCTTATTGCTTTCTTTTTCTCCAGAATGCTTACTTAACAGAAATATGATTTACTTACCTAATTTATTCCTTGTCTCTCCTTACTAAGATATAAACTACAGAAGGAGAGGAATTTTGTCTGTTTTGTTTACTGCTATATCCCCTGGTATTTAGAATTGTGCCTGGCATATAATATGCACTCAGTAAATACCAGTTTAATCAATGGAAGATATTACAGTGTATAGTTTAATTCTCTGAACTCAGACTACATGGGTTCAGATTCTAGCCTAATTGTAATCTGCATTCATAAAATTTTTGTTTCTTTTCTAGTAAAATGGGAAATATTGTAGTCCCCACCTGTAGTATTCTTATAAGAATTAAATTAGGGGTTTTAGCTAAAAGCATTTAACAAACATCTTGAATGACCAATGGAGTTATAAGTATTAGATTTGCCTTATGTTAATGCTCTGCTTGGTTTCCATTTCGTAGACTATGGTCTATAAAGTGCCTCTAGACAGAAAGCTGGGGTGACTGTGGGAATACTGGACAAAATATATGAAAAGGATGGATTTATATGTTGGACAAAAGGCATCACAGGATTATGATCCCTGAAAAAGAAAACAAACAAGGCAATCCCCACAATCACCCCCATTTCTGTCGGGAGGCACTTTCCAGAGCACAGTTTAGGTAGGGTAAACCACAAGTACATACCAGTTTCATGTAGTTGAGCAGAGAGAGACAAAAGTTTAGGGAGGCCAAACTACCTGGAATTTATGCAGGAGACCCAAGAGGAGGAAGATTCAATGAGAAAGAAAAAAAGAAACTACCTGGCGATTCTCAAGAGCAACAGGCCTCAAACTTTTTGATCTTAGAATCTCTTCATACTTTTAAAAATTGCAGAGTCCAAAGAGATATTACTTACATAGAATATATCAATATTTAGTGTATTAAAAATTAAAACTAATAATTTTCTAAAATATTTATCAATTCAAACATAAAAGTCATGCATATAGCATGTAATTTATGAAAACAGCTATATTTCATGAAAATAAAAATATTAGTGAGAATAACAGCACTATTTTACTTTTTTGTCAATTCTCTTATTTTACAACTTAATAGAAGACATTTGCATTTTTGTATCTGCTTCTGAATTCAACTTGTTCCAGTATCGTATGTCATATGGCCTCTGTCTAACTCTACTGTACACTACTGAGAGAATGAGTATAAAAAGGCAAATAACATGTTAGCATAATTATAAAATAGTTTTGAACTCATGTGTCCTAGTATTATTATGAAGTAGTTTTAAATTTATAGACAGACCCCTAAAAGATATCAAACATACCACCCCCAAGAGATTCTGGCCCATAGTTTGAGATCTGCTGTCCTGGAGACTTTGGCTAAATACTATTCTGTATCTACAAGGAGGCTTTAAAATGTTCACAGAAAAATGGAATTGAAAGATAAAAATAAAAAATATAAACATTATTTCTCAACATAAGCTCCGCTAAGCACAAGACACTTTTGTAAACAATGATACCAGCCATTTAGTCCATCCCTAAAGAACTGAGGGTAGGAGTGGTATTTCATTGTGGGTTTTAACTGACATTTCCCTAATGATTAATGATGTTGAACTTTTTTCCTATACTTACTTGCCATTTGAATATCTTCTTTGATGAAACATCTATTCAAATATTTTTCCCATTTTAAAAATAGTGTTTATTGTCCTTTTACTATTGAGTTGTAAGAGTTTTTATATGCTCTGGTTAGAAGTCCTTTACCAGCTATGTGTTTTGAAAAGATTTTCTCCCACTCTGTGGCTTGTCTTTTCATTTTCTTTTAACACTTTTAAAAGCAGAAGTTAAGCAAAATATTGTTTTTGATACATTCTAGACCAGGCATGGTGTGGCTCATGCCTGTAATCAATCTCAGCATTTTGGGAGTTGGAGGCAGGGGATCACTTGAGGCCAGCCTAGGTAACATAGTGAGACCCTCATCTCTGAAAAAAAAATTAAAAATTAGCTAGGCATGGTGGCATATGCCTGCAGTCCCAGCTACTGGTTTTGAAAAAATACACTTTTTTTTTTTCAGAAAAGAAGTACCAAAATTTATTAGTTTTTCTATCTTCTGTAGAAAACAATATTGTATAAACAGAAACATAGAGGTAATAACCTTATAATAGTTAATTTTAAAAAAATAAAGTAATAAATACTACCCTTAGTTTACGTAAAGAGGGGAGACACTTACATGGAGGTAACTAAGATTATTCAGCTCTAAGAAATACATGCTTCATGGAAAATTCTAAGCACGTGTTTTAAGAGACATAGTTTCACTGACATTGCTGATTTTCCAGTCTTTGGGAAGAATAGATCTTATAAGAGGTTAAATGCCATTCCCCACCCCACCCCCACTCCCCAGCTCCTCAAATCTTTACCTCTATCACCAAGCCAGGCTCTGATACCACTAAGACTGTCTCTAGCAACCTGCTGAAGAGCGCCCTCTAGTGCTGTCTTGCACATGAAATGTTCTCAGATAATTATTTTCATGAATTGTTCTGATTATACTGAATCTTAGGTTTTATTTGGCACCATAGCCAAGAAAAAAAGATAAATAATGGTTGGGAACAATTTTATGGTTTTCACTGCCAGCTATGTAAAACTATAACACTGTATTATAGAGTTAGAAGGATTTTTTTAAAAATTTTTGAATAAAATGAGCTACATACATTTTTAAAAACAATGTGTCTTTTGTTCAAAGGCTAGTTTTAAAAATGAATTTGCATAATATGTTAGTATATTGCACAGTACTTAGAAAAACAAGAGTTTGTTCTATCATAAATAAAGTGAGCAGTGTCAACAATTTGCTTCTCTCAACTTCTCAATCTCTGGAAATCTATGTACTTAGGCTGGTGATATCCTAAGAAAATGCCACAAAAACTTATTTGTGTTGAAATGTTTATTTCTGGTGACAGATAGTAAAACTTCTGTTCATGCTTAATCAAAATCCAAAAGGGAGAACATAAGAAAAACAAATTTCTTGACTATAAGCTGAGTGTATCTTTAAATTCCAGGAAAAAGAAAACACTCTATCAATATTTCAAAAAGGCAGCATTAAATAACAGCAATATATTCCTTAAAGCAGTTTAACCCTAGCACAAAGAAATTTAAAGGAGTAAAGGAAATCAGCGTTTTCATTGTCTAATATACACTAAGGAATTTGAACTACAAGACTGGTAACTCCATAAACTATCACTCTATCTTGGGTATGAGTTTTTCTCTTTTATAAAAGAACATATCCTAAATGAATTACAGAGTCTGAGAAAAAATAGGAAAAACTAAACATTCAAAAAGGACTAATACTCATGTTAATACATGCATGTGTGTGGTATATCTATGTACGTATGCATATTTATGTATTTCTATAATTTTGTTTAAAAATTAAAGTGAAGATCAAACACTTGACCCACAAACATGGGCAAAAATAAGATCTCTGAAAATATCTTCTTGTAAATAAGGAAACTAAGAGCAGCAAGGAAAGGATTAGAATTCATGAATCTACTAGATTTGTTTAATTTAAAAAAATTTTTTTGGAGGGGAGGGGGTACGTTACTCTACATTGTACACATTAATAAGGTTAAATGTGTACAATGTGTTAAAAATGATTAAACAAAATATGTTTAAAATTACCAATCTAAAAAATAAGAGGTACAAAGAAAAGGTAACATATATCCTAATGTTTTTAGAGTGGAACAATGTTTAGTGATGAAATATTCTTGAAACATGGCTTTTCAGGTACTTGTGTTATCTAAATACCTTGAATGGTGTCTAAATAGAATAAGGGCTCTAGGAAATCCAAGATAACAATAGACAGAGAAATGGGTATAAAGAGGCCACAATACTTGGGAATAAAAAAAACCTCTAGGTTGTATTTCTGTCCCTGACTCACCATTGACCTTGACAAAGTCAGTGATCTCCACTGTGATTCAGCTTCTCCATCAAACAAGGGCAATAACTCTTGACAGAAACCACACAGGAGTGTTGATAATGGGAGGATTAGGGTGATAATGTACAAAGCTTATAGAAATTTTACTGTGCTGTGAACACTTCTGGAAAAGATCATGCTCTTTTGCTACGCCAAAAAAGCTTAAAGAAGATAATGGATATATAAAACATTAGATTACATTCTGCTTAACATCTTCATTCTTATTTATTTTGAAAGTTTCTTCAATGAACTGTTTTTATTACACTTATTGGTTAATATTTTTACGTTTGGCAATTTGTAATCCCCTTTCTTTCTTATTTGCTTTATTTTCAGTCTTCTATTTACATAAAACAAGGATTTATTCTTGTCTTGGATTTCTTTCTTCATTCTATTTATATGTATAAATACTGTTTTTCTTCTACTACTTATCTCTATGTTGTTCAACTACAATAAAAGCAACCATAGCAATATACTAACACTTAATATATGTGACAGTGCTTTGCAAATAAACTCTAATCTCTCATTTCATGTATTTATTCAGTTCATCTCAATTAGAAAACTTGTCAATAGTTTATATATCTCACTTACCAAGCCCCCAAGAAGGTAAAATTTTAAATAGTAGGAAAACATTTATCCTGTCACTATGAAAGAAGAAATAACCACTGTATATAAGAAACCAACAATAAACTTTATTGTAGTTTCTCATAGATTTCCTAGTAAATAGAAGTATAGATATTTCAGAAATTTTCTGAGTTATAAAATATATATTTATCCCAATTTACAGAATGAGCTATATTTACATTTTATATAACCACAGGGTGAGAAAAATAGTAATGTTTCACACCTCTACTTTTAACTCTATTACTTCTGGTTGGATAACAGTAGAAATCACTTAATACATAAGAAATATGGGAACGACTACCTCATTGTGGTCTTAGAATGATTAATTGTGCTTTTACCCTAGAACAAAGGCTATGTGAACATACAGTATTATTACTTTAATACAGGTAATTCATTGTAGTATGTAACAGCCATATATAGACCAAATAATAATCACTTACTACATGGGATAAAATAAAACCCCCACTGAAAAATGGAGAAATGCCTCTTTCTGCCTCTAATTAGTTTTTAATGAATGATACATAATAAATGGCAACATTCTAATTTATCACAGTTTAGGCACAGTCCATTAATGGGACCCGGGGTATTAGAGTATATGAACTCTGGCAGCTGTTTGCATAGCCTGTGAAACCTTCACTGTTAAAGGGCATTCACTGTTCTCAAAGTCTGAAAAGATAAAAGCTCTTATAAGGTCCTTTCAGGTAGGCATAACTAATGGAAGTAGTCCCTCTACAGCACAAGGTTCTAACTACAGATAAATAGCCTCTCTGTTCTTGGTCTCTATAAACATCAATTTCATTTATTCTTGGTTTTAAATCACACACACTTTTAGTGAGATTAAATACCTAGAATATGACACAGCTCTTTTTACTTCACAAATGTGAGAAATACACTTAGTTTTAATTTTTTTTTAATTTTGATTTTTTCCCCCCTGAAACTGCCTTTTGGTTCCCTGACATTTAATTCTGTAAACCAGGCCTATGTATTTTTTGTCATGGTATATTTCAATAGACTAGAAGACCTGGTAGTGTTTAAGTTTGTTTTTAAGGCTCCACATGGGATTTATTTTTCATACTTGGTTTCTGCTTATGGACTACATTGTATTTTAATGCTTTTTATTCTTTCTTAAATAGAAAGGATAAAGGGATACATGGGAATACATTATCACCATAAGCAGTTAACAAGTCTCTAACATGAGTATTCTATTTACTGTAGGAGGAATACTTACGCTCTTCTTACCAAGTCTCATCTTCACTTACCTGAGAAGTAAGGCAGATGAGAAGGAAGGTGTTATCACTCAATATCACTAACAAAATGGTGGCATGTGTTCATTAAATGCACTTTTCCCTCTACGTTTGCCTTAGCTGTATTCATTGCTGTAACATCATACTGTCTACATGTATGAACCTCCTCAAGCAAAGATGGTAACTCTAGTGCCTCGCTCATCTTGGAATAAAAGAACCTGAAAGGAAAACCATTGTTTCTTCTTAAAAAGAGTAGAAAGAAATATACCGAGGCTACAAATAACAATTTCCACATAACCACGGCTAATTCATTCTAAAGAAAATTTTATATAGATTTTCTATAGAGAAATATTTTTCCTCCACTGGATTACCTCATGAGAGCCTTTGTTCTCAAACAGTATGCTTTCCTTATGCTGCAAATTTTGAGTAAATCTGCACCATGACTGGTTAGATTTAAGAGATTTAATTTACTTAATCATCAGCACAAGTATACCTCTTTCTGTCCTTTATGGAATTAAACATACACAAAGAAAAACAGAGTGGATATTTTTCGTAAAATGGACACATTCATACAAAGCTGGATCACCTTATATCACATACTGGAGGCAAACTATCACATACTTATAAAATTATAGGTGCATCTCTATATAGTAAGTGTACTTATAGCATTATGCCTTGACCCTCCTTCACACTGATCTTCGTGTGTTCACATGTATGTACACATTCAACTCCATTTCTATAAAGTCAAATTCATCTAGTGCTGCATAGTCTGGTTGGTATTTCTACATCTTTTCCTCCTTTAAATGTGACTAGCTATTTACACCCTAACAATTCTGGTACAGAGCTGATTTAGCATTTTTATTGGAATGTGAAAGCTCTTAAAAGAAGAAAAAAATCTAATCAGGCAGAAGAGATAGAAAACTTGCTGAATTTTCTATCCCCCCTCCAAGACCCCCCTGAATCCTATCAAAAGCACATCTTCCATTCATTGCTTCCCGGTGTCATTATGACAAGCGGCTACAAATCAATAGCAGAGGGAAAGGCAGGACCAACCCGCACTCACCAAGTGATAAAGATTCACTCTCAGCCCCGATTTGCTAATAGCCCATAATAGCAGCCATTGGCGCCCTGCATTAAATCATACATTTCACTCTGCGTTTATTATGGGATTTTTAAAACTCCTCACCAAATTGGATTTTCTTGATGGTCTCTAATTTCCACATTTATCATTTAAAATTAAACTCCTCTGTGGAGAGGGGTGATAGAAAAGGAGGAGAAGGTAGAGAGAGGCCAGACAGTACTGTATTTTTCCTTTTCACTCCCCCCTTTATGAAAACCCATAAATAATATCAGGTATCATAGCCATGAGCAGCAGGGTTGTTTTTTTTTTTTTTTAATACTAGGAATTCTAGAAATCAGGCTGGAATGGTCTGTATGTGCTGGTCTGTGAATATAGATGACAATTCAAGAGAACAAAATATATGTCTATAAAGCATGTTTTAAACAAAGGAAACATGGTAAAAAATAATTCTCAGTAATGTTGCAATGAAGGTGAATTTTAAGGGCAATAAAAAATAAGTTAATGTTAAATTTTACAAATATTCCAAGGACCTGTAAAGAGAGAGTTAAGCAATTAGGGTATTCTAGCTTTTAAAAAAAATATTTTTTTTTTTTTTTTTTTTTTGAGACAGAGTCTCGCTTTGTTGCCTAGGCTAGAGTGAGTGCCATGGCGTCAGCCTAACTCACAGCAACCTCAATCTCCTGGCTCAAGCAATCCTTCTGCCTCAGCCTCCCGAGTAGCTGGGACTACAGGCATGCGCCACCATGCCCAGCTAATTTTTTATATATATATATTAGTTGGCCAATTAATTTCTTTCTATTTATAGTAGAGACGGGGTCTCGCTCTTGTTCAGGCTGGTTTCGAACTCCTGACCTCCAGCAATCCGCCCGCCTCGGCCTCCCAGAGAGCTAGGATTACAGGCGTGAGCCACCACGCCCGGCCAAAAAAAAAATATTTTTCTTATTCCAAAGCTCAGTAACAAACAGATGAAAAGTAAAAATTCTATTATTGTTTTCTAATTATGTAATAGCTTTCTGCACCCTTTATATTTTCTTAGTTTAAAAAATTATTGTAAAATTTCAGAGTCCTGTGGCTAAATCTGCCGTTTGGCTGCTGCAGCAAAACCCCCTCTCTCACATATACCACTGACACAATGGAATCAACCCATGGGAGCTCAAATAAGTACAAGTTTAAGTACACATGTTTTTTGATAAGATACTTATCTTTTGGGCATAAAAATGAAAATTAAATTTCAAGTCGTTAGCATAAAATAAAAAGGCTATATTTTCTCAAGCTGCACAGGTGAGACCCAGTATGGTCAATTTATAACTATAGTATAGCAGGATCCAAGGACATCAGAAGGGAACTAATCAGTACATATGTAGAGATGCTTGAAAAGGTTAGAGGTTTAGTGAAATGTCAAATGATCTTCTGATTTCTTCTTTTTTTTGAGACAGAGTCTCACTTTGTTGCCCAGGCTAGAGTGAGTGCCATGGCGTCAGCCTAGCTCACAGCAACCTCAAACTCCTGGGCTCAAGCGATCCTCCTGCCTCAGCCTCCCAAGTAGCTGGGACTACAGGCATGTGCCAACATGCCCGGCTAATTTTTTTACATATATATATCAGTTGGCCAATTAATTTCTTTCTATTTATAGTAGGGACGGGGTCTTGCTCTTGCTCAGGCTGGTTTTGAACTCCTGACCTTGAGCAATCCGCCCGCCTCGGCCTCCCAGAGAGCTAGGATTACAGGCGTGAGCCACCGCGCCCGGCCTGATTTCTTCTTTTTGGGGACTTTCTCAGCAATAAAGTCCATCTCATGTCATTTTCTTAAGAAACAGAGAAATGGCCTTTTAAAGTAGACTGTTTAAAGAGAAAATAAAAACGTCAGCCATTTTATAACAATATTTCATTTCATCTTCACAGGCTCTCTTTAGTTTTGGAATTTTGTTTGTCATCAACATAATTATTTTCAAACATCTCAATGATCCTTTTAAAAAAAATACCGTTGATTATTGTGACTTCTCATTTTTCTTTTTTAAGGAGGAAACTACTTTTATATATATCCCTTTTTTCCTCTCCCACTTTAAGTTTTTATCCAAGTAACATACATACTGAAAAGCATACAAGTCAAAAGTGTATACTATGAATTGTCACTCGCTACATGCACTTGTGTAACTAGCATCCAGACCAAGAAGCAGAACACTTTATTAGTGACCTGGAAGCTCTCCATGTTCCTTTACAGTCACTACCAACTCCCTTCAAAATAGTCTCTATCGTGCTTCTAACATTATAGATTAATTCTGCTGGCTATTGAACTTTATATTAATGGAATCATCCAGTATATATAATTTTGTGTCTAGCTTCTTTCACTCAAAATTGTGTTAGATTAATTATTGATGTATGTAGTGATAGTTCATTCATTCTTATTGCCGTAGAGTGGAGATCAGCAAATTAAGGTCAGAGGGCCAAATATGGCCCATTGCCTACATTTGTATGGCCTATGAACTAAATAATATTTTTACATCTTTAAATGGTTAAAAAAGGGATAATATTTCATTATATGAGAAAATTTATAAGAAATTCAAATTTCAGTGTCAATAAATAATGTTTTTGACAATAGTCATGCTATTTTGTTTAAATATTATCTATGGCTGCTTTCATGCTACAATAGACTTGAGTAGTTGTGACGGAAATCCTTATGGCATATAAAGTCTAGGATATTTACTATCTCGCCCTTTGCAGAAAAAGTTTGGTGACTTCTTCTGTGAAAAGTGTTCCACTGTGTGACTATACCATAATTTATTTACCCATTATATCATTGAAAGAATATTTGAGTTGTTTCTGATATTCAATTATTTTAAATGTATGCTGTAAACATTCTAGAAAATGTCTCTGGTGAACATATACATACCTAAGAGTGCAGCTGCTGGATACAGGACATGTATGATTCTGCTCTGTAGTTACTGCCAAACAGTTTTCTATAGTGGTTTTTAATCGATTTACACTCCCCACCAGTAGTGTATGAGAATTCCAATTGCTCTGTTTTCTTGTTAACTCTTGGTATTTTAGTTATTCTGGTTGTTTTAATTTGCATTTTCTTTGTATCTAACATAATTGAGCACCTTCTCATGTTTATTGCCATTCAGGTAACTCCTTTGTGAAGTATCTACTCAAAGTCTTTTGTCAGTTTCTCTCTTGGGTTACTTGAATTTTTCTTATTGATTGATTTGTGGGTATCATTTGTATATTATGGATGTAAGTCTTTTGTAAGATCATCTATTATAAATAATTTCCCCTGTAGATTGTGGTATGACTTTTTACTCTTTTTAAGAGTGTATTTTGGTGAAAAAAAGTTTTTAATTTTATGTAGCCCAACAAATCCATTTTTTCTTTATAGTTAGGGCACTTTACTTTTTCTGTTTAAGAAATATGACCTATCCCAAATACATGAAAATTGTAAATTCATTAGATTTTTTATGTATGCTAATAATAATAGGTCATGTGTGAATAATGACAACTTTATTTTTTTCTTCCAATGCTTATGCTTTTGATTCTTTTTCTTGTCTTATTAAACTGGCTAGTGCCTCTAGCACAATGTTGAATAGAAATGACAACAGTAGTCATCTTTATCTCATTTTGAATTCTGTGGTGGACTTTTGTAAATTCTCTTAATCTGGTTAAGGAAATTCCTTTCTATTCGTAATTTTTATTCTGAATGAGTATTAAAGTTTATCAAAGACTTAGAAAAAGATATCAAGATGATCATGTGATTTCTCTTTTTTCTGTTAATATGGTGAAATACATTGACTTAGAAATGTTAAACCACCTGTACAATTTCTGGAATAAAGTGTACTTGGTCATAATTTATACAATTTTCTATATATTGCTAGATTCAATTTGTTGACATTTTGGTTAGGATTTTTATAACAATGCTCATGAGAAAGACTAGCTAGTAATTTTCTTTTCTTATATTATCCTTGTTTGGTTTTGATATCACCTTCCTTGTATTTTTTAGAAGTCTCTAGTGAAATGACAAGAGCTACTTTTAGCAAATTGCAGATTTTTAGTGGAAATTGAAACTGCTATACTTTTATAATAGTGGTGCATAAGCAGCTCTGATACTTAGGGTTTTTCTTACTCTGTTCTCAGTTCCCAAAGT